TACTCGGCCTCGTTGTTAGTCATCTCGGGGCATCGTATGGACTGGCAAATTATTTTGCCCGTGGGGACCTCGAGAACGAGTCCCAGTCCCGATCCCGAGGCATTAGCGGCGCCATCAGTGTAAAGAGTCCATAGGTCGGTGTTGGAGGGGGCACGACGTGCCTCTAGTTCCACCTTTGGTAATATCTCTGCGCTGAAGTCGGCTATAAAGTCGGCAAGTACTTGCGACTTGATGGCGTTTCTTGGGAGATATGAGATATCGTGCTCGCTGGGCTCTATGGCCCATCTGGCGAGCCTGCCTGATAACTCAGGCTTATGTAGGATGCTTCTCAAGGGGAAGGTCGTCACTACTTTTAAGGGGTGGCACTGAAAATAGGGTCGGAGCTTCCGTGAAGCTACGACTAATGCCAAAGCTAATTTTTCGAGGTGCGGATACTGTGTTTCGGCGTCCACTAAGGTTTTGCTAATATAGTAAATAGGAGACTGCGTACCTTCGTTTTCACGAACCAAGACTGCGCTGACGGGGACCTCGGATACGGCCAAATATACCAGCAGGGGCTCGCCTGGACTTGCTTTGGCCAGCAGTGGTGGCGAAGATAGGTATGCTTTCAATTTTCTCAAGGCTTCGACGCATTCCTCATTCCACTGTAACCCATTGTCCTTTCTCGGCACATTGAAAAATTTATGGCACCTATCGGAGGATCGTGAGATGAACCTGGATAGGGTGGCTATTCGTCCAGTTAGCTTTTGCACCTGTTTTTTGCTGTTCAACATCTCAGGTATTGCGTCTATCGCCTTGATCTGATCTGGGTTGACCTCGATGCCTCGTTGTGATACGAGAAATCCTAAGAATTTTCCTGAGGTCACGCCGAAGGCGCATTTCTCGGGGTTCAGTTTCATCCCGTACCTTCTCAATATCCCGAAGGCTTCTTTCAGATGGTCGATGTGGTCCTCTTTTCTTGTCGACTTCACCAGCATATCGTCGATATAGACTTCCATAGTTTTACCAAGCTGCTCTTTGAACATTTTGGTGACCAGTCTTTGGTACGTAGCCCCTGCATTTTTGAGCCCGAAGGGCATTACCTTGTAGCAGTAAGTCCCTTGGTGGGTGATGAAAGTCGTCTTCTCCTGGTCCTCCTCGGCCATCATGATTTGATTGTAGCCGGAGTAGGCATCTAAGAAGCTCGGCAGTTCATGTCCTGCGGTGGCGTCGATCAATTGGTCGATGTGGGGTAGTGGGAATGAACCTTTGGGCATGCTTTGTTCAGATCGGTGAAATCCACACACATTTTCCACTTCCCGTTTTTCTTTTTGACCATGACGACATTGGCGACCCACTGGGGGTACTTCGATTCTCTGATGGAGCCGTTAGCCAGTAACTTGTCTACTTCCTCACTGACCGCTTCATTGATAGCGGCGTTGAATTTCTTTCTCATCTGTCGCACGGGCGGATGTAATGGATCGACATTCAGCTTGTGGGTGGCGATGTCTCGCGGGATTCCCGGCATATCTGAATGGGAAAAGGCGAACAAATCTGCATGGTTAGTTAGGAATTCACGATACTTACTTGGGTTGGCGAGGTCGTGCCCGATGTAGGCTTTCTTCGTAAGGTCGGTGTCGTCCAATTGGACTGGGTCGAGATCTTCGACCGTTGCTTTACAGGCCTCCACGACGTCGGGGTCTCTAATGGCGTCCGTTGTCGGGTTGACCTTAGTCCCCGACACAGCTAATTGCTATGCCTCCGCGCTCGCCCCCTTTAGCTGTTGGGTGTGGGCGCAATCTTGAGCTATTTTGTAGCATTCCTGTGCGGTGCGCGGCTCGCCTCGAATGCTGAATACTCCCCATGGGGTAGGGAATTTGATCACTTGGTAAAGGCTTGAAGGGACCGCTCGCATGGCGTGTATCCACGGGCGCCCTATGATGACGTTGTACGCCGTTTCCTGGTTCATCACGTGGAAAGTTGTTTCCAGCGTGACTCCTCCTGCTAAAACGGGCAGTGATATTTCTCCGGATGTCCGTTCCACTGAATTGTTAAAACCAGTTAGTGTTATGCAACGCGGTATTACCTTATCCTCGAGTCCCATTTGTACGAGGACCTTCGGGTGGATAATACAGGCGCCGCTTCCGTCGTCAATCATGATTCTTTTAACATCTGTATCAGCGATACGTAAAGTGATAACTAAAGCATCGTAATGAGGGAAAGACAAACCGTCGGCATCAGACTTATCGAAGGTGATACTATCTTCGAAGTCGTCATACCGTTCATGGGCGATGGTCCGCTTTAGTTTGTGCGTGGTGGCGAACTTGACGTGATTGATCGCTAAGTCATCGCCGCCTCCGACGATCATGTTTATCGTGCGTGCTGGGGAGGGCGGCTTCGGCGGCCCATGGGGTTGTTCCCGTCCGCGTCCCAAGTTGATTTTCCCTTTGTCACTGAGTAATTCCCTCAGGTATCCCTGGTTCAGCATCCTGACCACCTCGTGCCGTAGGCCTATGCAGTCTTCGATTTTGTGTCCCCATTCCTGATGGAACTCATAGGACGTTTGATTTCCTCGTGGCAGGGTCTGATTTCATCTTCTGCGGCCACTGCACTTTGGTGCCCAGCTTCTCCAGTGCGTACACTATTTCTGAAGGAGACACACAAAAGTTATGGGCGGATATAAAGGAGGCGTACCTCTTTCGTTTCGGAGTGGGGCGACGTGTCGCTGTAGCGCGTCCGTATGCCTTGGTGGTGGATGGGAGGATCTGGTGTATGGCTGGTATCGGTCTTTGTTGGAGCGTGGGAATTTTTCTCGCCGTCCTTCGTTGCGTCGATCCCTCCTTGTTTCTGAGTGTATCGTTGTTAGCCGTTGGGTCGGCCCATTAAGATCATCCTCGTCCGCTCGTACCTCAACGCAAAAGGCGTTGTGGATTTCCTCCCATGTGGTAGGGGGATATTTCATGAGGCGGCTTGGTAGCTTCTTGGTTGCCCTCGAACCATTCCTGTTTAGCCCGTTCTGGAAAGCGGCGACTGCCATACCTTCCGATACGTTTGGTAGACTCATCCTTACCCTATTAAACCTGGCTAGGAAGTCCCTGAGTCCCTCCCCTATGGTTTGCCTGACGGCAAAGATGTCGTTGACCCTTGCTTCCGCTTTCTTTGCACCTGCATGGGCGGTGACGAACTTATCCGCCATTTCCTCAAACGTTGATATCGCCTTAGCTGGTAGCTGAGAGTACCACGTTAGGGCCCCTCCTGTCAATGTCTCACCAAACTTCTTCAGCAGCACCGATGGTACCTGTTCTTTTGATAGGTCGTTGCCCTTTACAGCAGTGACATAGTGGATTAAATGATCCTCGGGATCTGTGGTTCCGTCATATACCTTCAAGTAGGGTGGCATCTTGAAGGTTTTTGGGATAGGGTGAGGGGCAGCTTCTTCAGTGTATGGTTGTTCAACGAACCTCCCCACGTCGCGTTTTGGTAGCAACTTGGGAGCGCCGGGGATCTTGTCTACCCTCTCCTCATGTTCTTTCATTTGGTCGTGGAGTGCCTTGTTTCCATTCTCCATTTCTTCCATCTTCTTTAGGATGGCTGTTAGCGTGCCATCGTTGGTCTGTGCCTCGATGGGTTTGTTATTTGCTCGTGCAGCTTCAGGTTCACCCATGGCAGCAGTGGTACCTACCGTTGGTATACACCTGTCGTTACTTTGCGGTGACTTCTCAACCAAGCCACTTAGAGTGCTTGTTAGCCATTCTTCCAGTAGCTTCTGACCACCGAGGGTGGTTCCTTAGCCGCAGATATGGAAGCTCCTTTTTCATGCAAGATCGTCAGATCTTCGGATGGGGAAGATGAGATCTCTGCACCTGGTGTGATGCTAGGGGTTGCATTCAAGATGCCCTCGTCACCGGCCTCGTTGAGAGGATCAAGGAGATTGGCTGTAACGCCCACTATCGCTTTCATTCTGGTGTTATTTTCAGCCATCTTTTGTTTTCGTGTGGTGTAGAGAATGGTAGTTGGTTGCTCTCTAGGTGGATACTATGATTTTGATTCTCGAAATCCCCACAGACGGCGCTAAATTGTTTGGCTCAAAAGTTATCGATATACTTTGCAAGCTTAAAAACAATCAAAAGTAAGAAAGGGTAAATCGTAATCAAATATAATAGACCTAGAGGTGAAAAATGAAGTTGTTGTTGTAGATCTAATAGTGATAATATGAACTCAAGAGAAAGTATTCGTTAGAGATAGCGATAGAGAGAGAGTATGAGAAAATGAGAGAGTTGTATTATTCCAGAATAATCCCCCCCCCCCCCCTTTTACAATGTGAAGGTCTCCCTTATATAATAAGAGACCTTCCTCGAAATAATCAAAAAGTTACAAAAATAGGTAACGTTTTCCTAGTGAAGACACTGAGTCCTAAACGATGTCACTTTTGTCCCCACGTCCGAGTCGTACCCTTACGTTAGTTGGCGTATACTCACTGGGCATACCCATTGGCGTAGAGACGCTGACGGTCAAATTTGACCCTATACAGCTATCCAGAAATGCAATAACACTGTAGAAATGACGAATGCATCACTTGACAAATAATAGTTAGAGAGTCTAAGAGTGAATTAGGGATTGCCATTGACAATCTACCACAAATGAAATTTACTTTTGGAAGAAAAAACTTCAGTAATAAGAGTACGAAAGCTTTGTCTCTCTTGCGGAACCATAGCTCACAGTAAGATATCAATGACAAAATTCTTTCCCTTCTTTTTGGTGAGAATGCTAGCATTTACAAAAAGTTCTTTCCCTTTGTCCATAAGATCATCATCTTCCATTCTTTTCTATAGGCTTATAATATTTGTAGTTCTAAGATTGATTGGAGTTGAAATCTAATTTACAAGTTATAATGGACTACAATGTAAAGTTTATAGGAGTACAATTAAATGGAAGATTTGCAAAGATATGATCAGGGACTTAAACAGTCATAGATAGGAAAGAAATAGTCAGAGTGCAAATGATATAGGAATAACTTATAGTTGGACATAATATCACTTCATGAATATCATTAAATAGGAGAAATTACAGAAAAAAGACTTCAGTTAACCCATGGATAAGGATTCATATTAGTGTCTTTCACTTTGGATAGCTAATGAAAAGAACCTATCAACTACACCTAATATTAATGCAAGCATTTAACATTCTTGAACGGATAGTGAAACAGAAGAAAAAAGACATACTTGAAATGGTATTTATCCTCACAAACAACAATTACGAAGTAAAAATGGTGAACTAATATTTGCACGAACAACTACTACCTCCTGGGATTGTTGAGCATCGACTGCAAATAAATTCAAGCAACTTGTGCCTCCTTGGAATGTTGAGAAACTTCTGCCCTTTTCACCTTCACTTCTTGATGTGAGCTGATTGCTATACTCAATGCAGATAAATTGTTAAACAAGTGAAGCAACAAAAGAACAAAAAATAAACCATCATATCTAAGAACTCACCAACACAGAAAAAATAATTTCCTTTTAAGAGGAGAAAAAAAGAACATATTGAGAGAGGTAGAATAAAAATACTGCTATACCAAATTAGTTATTATTTTGAGCTTTTCATCACAAAGTAAGCAAGAATAAAGATGTGATTTACTTCACAAATAAAAGCACACAATTATAGAGGAGGTAATTTGTTGTTAGGGAAGAGTGTGAAACATGCAACCGCTTTACTTGTTACTTGTTATTCGGAACATATGACGTTCAATTGATATCTTTATTGCAAGCTGTATCAAGAGAAATTAATGTTCTTATTATGTGTTTAGTAAGTTAAAAATAAGATGCTAAAAGATTACGTCTCTATGCAAATCTTAGATGTAGTCCCTTCATACTTAAACCAATATTATTACCAAAAGATTTAAATTATATATGTACTAATATGATAAAAAATACACATACCTAAAGTATTGTTATATCATGTAAATAGACTCCAAGTTGAACTAAATAAATATATAAAATTTATATATCTCTAATTAGTTTAGAATTAAGTAATTAGCTTTTTTTCTCATATTTCGGTCCTTAGTGCTGGCCTAAAAGATATTCCCTGCCAAAATCTCATCCACATTCAATGCAAAAGACTTTAGAAATATCCAATGAAAAGGATACCATGAAGGTAAAATCCCAAGAATACTCAATGGTGCACTCACCAGAAGACTTCTTAGTTTACATTCCAGTTATTGTAGTTAATTTAACAAAAACACAGATTCAGACTCAACATTGGGATTACAATTAGAAAATAAATGTTAAGTCACACTCAAAAAGGGTTAAAGGGTATAGGTTAGTTGGACAACAAACATTTCTCATTCTGTTGCACCTAGAAGCAATGAATTCTTTAGGCTCCTGAGATATTTGTGAGCACTTGTAACTTAGATCACCTACACTGTCTTGGATTTTTATTAACTAGCTTCCTCAACGCTAGATTGTATTAAGCACCATCAATTTACTCTTTAATATACCAAGTTAAATTCATCCATTACTTGGACGCATCGTTTGAAAACTCAAAGTTCATATACTGATATTAGTTCTTCAAGTAATGACAAGAACTTTATAGAAATGTAAAGTCCCCTGTATTTTAGTTCATCCAATGATAATTCTTTAAAAAATTATTATGTCTTCATGGTTATATCTTTAGTCATAACTGCAGCGAAAAGCACAAAGATAAAGACCAATTTATAAAAAAATTACATGAAAAGGAAAAAAAGATCATCCCTTACTATATTTATACCTATCTCTCCTTCACCTCATATACCAAATAAAGGTCTATACTTAGGTCAATAAACAACAAAAATTAAAGAAAATTGCAACTCCAGGCAGGTTTAATGCAGCATAACTAGACATTGATAAAAAAGATGTTATTGGAAAACATTAGTATTCTAAGAAGAAATCCAAAGTACTTGACAAACACTAAGAGAAGCAGAACAATACCATCAAACAGAGAGACCATTGGACAATAAAAGAAGGGAAAATGTTCAAATATGCCCCTATACGATTTGAAAAGGAACAAATTTACCCTCCGTTATACTATCGGTCCAATAATACCCCTGACGTTATAAAACTAGATCAAAATTGCCCTTCCGCCGTTAACCCCTCCACCAAGGCCACCACCAATCCTACGTGGCCTAACATTTGTATGAGGTGGATGCCACATGGCACCTGACCATCCAATCCAATTTTATCCCTGCCTCTCCCGCCACACTCTGCTTTCCCAACATTATAAACTCACCTTAATTCATCTACAGTGAACTATGTTTCCTTCACACTTCAAAAGCAAAACTTGAATCCAATTACACTTCGAATTATCTATAACTAACAAATCTGGGATGTGGGAAGGCTGATGTTGAGTTACACCCAAATTGCAGATGTTGTTGCAGAGATACTAATAGAAAATCTTGTACTTCAATTTTCAAGAATTCTTGCTTCGTATTTCCATTGTTTATTACAAATAGAAGAGGAAGTACGTACGATAATTATGCTACTAGCATTCTGTTAGGGAAGCTAAAATTGAAGGACTCAAAGTTCTATTTGGTGAAGGTGCGAATGTACTTGGGAAAAAAACTTGTGATTTGTAAATGAAGACTAAAACAAAGCTCGTAGACCAGAGAACTTCTTATCATGCTTTCTTATTAACTAATAACACCAGAGAGATAAATAATAGTATAAAAATTGCACCCTATTTATATAAACAATTTCCTATTTTCCTACTTTGACGAGAATAACTTTCAAGAGAAATATGAATTTGTGGGTGTTGAAGTTAAAAACATAAAATTGGAGCCAGTGAAATTTGGCGTTAAATGGTTTTTTGTATGGCGAACTATGTTTTTGTTTCTATTTTAGAAAAATGGAATATGAATTAATTGGCTATGGTGGTGAAAAATAAGGATGGAGAAGAAAAGTATTTGGGGAGAGAGTTAAATGGGGTTGGGTTGGCAGGCCACATGGATGGTGTTAGCCATGGTGGAGGTAATTAACGGTCAAAGGGCAATTTTGAACCATTTTTGTAAAGCTAGGGGTATTGTTAGACCGATAGTATAACGGAGGGTAAAATCGATCCTTTTCGAATAGTACAGGAATATATTTGACCCTTCACCGATAAAAGAATACCCCATTCCACTCAATAGTTACAACGGCAGGTTTAAGGATTTGGTATAACTTACCTTGATGAGAAGGAAATTCTTAGACGAGCAGTCGATGATAATGGAGGAGACGGGCCGTATTTTTACTTCGAAGAAGTTTACTCCAAGATGGCAAATCGGAGGAGATGGCGCAAGTGGTGAGCAGTTTTCTTCATTCTTCCAATTGAAACAATCTTTTTTTGATCCAAGATTAGTGGTTTTCTTTTGGGGGTTGGGGGGTTGGGTTTGGGCGTAAGAAAAGTGGGAAAAAGTTTGTGCCTATTTTTATTTAATAAATTACCTTTTAACGACTGAATATTATACTTTTAAGGATAAAATATTTTCCCCTGTTAATGTTGAAATTAAAAATTAACTTTAACGTCCAGAAAAAAAGTTGGTCGGTATAAGTACACGTATAACGACCAGATTCATGTCCCTTCGTTAAGAAATGGTCGTTAAAAGTCAAGTTTCTTGTAGTGCTAGGTCTTAGATTAGTATCAAGTTTAGCCATAAAGTCCTCCAAAAATGACTTGGGAACCTCAAATCCCTATCTGAAACAATAGTTTTTGGAATTACATGCAATTTGACAATATTATCAAAGAAGAGATCAACAATATTTGTTGCATCCGAAGTCTTATCGCAAAGAATAAAGTGAGCCGTCTTCGAAAATCGATCGACAACCACAAAGATGGAATCCTTACCTCTTTGAGTCCTTGGAAGGCCTAACAGAATATCCATGATAATGTCTTCCCAAGGTTAAGTAGGAATTGGCAGAGGAGTGTAAAGACCCGAATTTCTTTTGTGCATTTTTGACTTTATACAAGTTTCACATCTTGCAACTAGCTTATTGACATCCCAAACCATCTTAGGCCAATAGAAGTTTTCTTGAACTAGGCGTAGAGTCTTTATTTGCCCAAAGTGGCCAACTAACCCTCCCTCATAGAACTCATGGATTATAAATTCACGCAAACTTCCTTGTGGAATACAAAGCTTCTTACCATGATAAAGATATCCATCCCTAAGCACAAACATATACTGAGGGCCCTCCCAACATTGACACCAAATAGCTCCAAAGTCTGGATATGTTGCATATAATTCCTTTATGTGCTCAAAACCCGCGATAGTGTTTTGCATGGAAGAAACAAAACAAGGCTTGCGACTTAATGCATCAACTACTTGATTGACCTTCCCAGCCTTGTGTTTAATAACAAAGTGAAAGGCTTGCGAAAATTCTACCCACTTGGCATGCCTAATGTTGAGTTTCTGTTGGCTACTCACATAGTTCAAGGCCTCATGATTGAAATAAGGCACAAATTTTCGAGGTAAAAGATAATGACTCCAATGAGAAAGAGACCTGACAATAGCGTAGAACTCCTTGTCATAAGTAGAATACTTGAACTTTGCATCATTCAACTTCTCGCTAAAATAAGCAATAGGTCTACCTTCTTGACCAAGAACAGCTCAATCCCAACTCCGGAAGTATCACATTCAGATTCAAAGATTACATCAAAGTTGGGGAAAGCAAGCACAGGTGCTTGAGTCATCCTTGTCATAATCAATTCAAAACTCTTTTGGGCAGCATCCGTCCATTTAAATGGGTTTCCCTTCAAACACTCGATAATAGGAGCAACAAGAGAGCTAACATTCTTTATAAAATGCTGATAAAAAGAAACCATACCATGAAAACTGCGAATTTCTGTTAAGCTTTTTGGAATAGGCCAGCTAGCAATAGCTTCAATCTTTCCCGAGTCGGCATGAATTCCCTCACTAGAGACAATATAACCGAGAAAAGAGACTTTCTCAGAAAAGAACTTGCACTTCTTCAAGTTGGCATAAATGGTTTGCTCTCTTAAAACTTCAAAATCCTTCTCAAGTGCTTCAAATATTGTTGATCATCCTTCCTATAAATAAGTAATCATCAAAATAAACAACGACAAATTTTCCTATGTATGGCTGAAAGATTTGGGTCATGAGTCTCTTAAATATGCTAGGAGCAGAAAGCCCAAATGGCGTAACAAGACATTCGTACAATCCCTTGCATGTCTTGAATGTAGTCCTCCATTCATCACCCTCCTTCATTAAAATTTGGTGATAGCCACTCTTCAAATCAATTTTAGAAAATATCTTGGCCCCATGTAATTGGTCAAAAATATCATCAAGCTTAGGAATAGGAAATCTATACTTGATGGTGATCTTGTTAATAGCACGAATATCAACACACATGCACCAAGATCCATCTTCTTAGGAACGAGCAAGGCAGATACAACACAAGGACATAAACTTTCCCTTATTAGTCCACGATCTAGTAGTTCCTCGACTTGTTGCTGAAGTTCCTCTTGCTGTGTTGGATTCATTCGATCTGCTGCTTTATTAGGGAGTGGTGTGCCTAGAATTAAATCAATTAATTGGTGGTAAAGAAGAAGGTGTAGTATCAGACACAACATCATGAAACTCATCCATTATTGCTTAAAGTCGTGGCTCAATGACTTTTAATGACTCTTTCTTCGTGATAGATTCCACTTCCTTAGGTACTACAATAAGCACTTCCTCTCCCTCCTTCAAGTGTTCTTCTACCTTAGCTCTTGTGATGTATGTCTCCTTCACTCTAGGATTTGACTTCTTTAAATCTTCTGGGTTCATGGGGAGCAGTTTGATCTACTTTCCATCCTTGATGAAAGAGTAAGTGTTCTTGAAGAAATCATGAATTGCCCTTCTGTCATATTCCCATGGTCTCCCAAGCAGTTAGTGGCAAGCATCAATAGACATTACATCACACCAGACCTTATCTTGTACATTCCTTCCTTCATCTAGCCACCTCATGCGGTATGGCTTCTGCAATGGCTCTGTCTCAAACCCCACTTTGGTAACCATTTCTTCAGAAACTACATTCTTACAACTTCTCGGATCACTAATGAGTGTACAAACCTTTCCCTTAGATGTACAACGTGTATGGAAAATACTTCCTTGCTAGAATCTGAATGAAGAACTCATTGGATCATATGGTATTCTCAATCATCTCCATATTCAGCTACTTCTTCCAAGTTGTCATCGTTTTGCTCTTCATGATAATCTTCTTCATCAATTGCTCCTTCAAGTATGGTGAATGCCTTTTTGTTAGGTCAATCAACTTGTATATGCCCAAGTCCTCCACATTTATGGCATCTCTTTTCAAAAATAGCTTCTGAAGTCATGGTCTTCCCTTCAACTTTTTGGACACTTGGTTTTGCTGTAGATGATTATGAATTTGTAGAGTTCAAACTAGGACTCCCATGGTTGAAAGTGTTCGCCTTCTTTATGGTAGTTAATGAAAATGTGGCTTTGGCTTCCTTCTATTGTGTCTACGACCTTGGCTAGTTTGAAAACATATCCAAAGGTCCAATGGGGCAATAGTCATATCACATTCGCAATAGACTTATTTAATCCAGCCAAATATCGAGCAATTAGACGGGCTGGTTTTTCATTAATGTCACTCTTGAACCTAAGATATTCAGATTCTCTTTTGTACTCATCCACAGATAAAGTTCCTTGTCTAAAAAAATGAAACTTCAAGTAAGAATCTTCTTCATATGCCTCTTGCAAGAACTGTTTGCGCAAATCTCACTTCATTCTCTCCCAAGTGCAAATTTGTGTTTTTCCTTCAAGCTCTCGCTCTTTTCTGAGGTTTTCCCACCATAGCGATGCATAACCTCTAAGCTGTTTAGCAACAAGCTTGACCTTATTCTCATCATAATATTCTTTATAATCAAAAACACGCTCAATAGTTATAAGCCAATCAATGAATTCATCGCCTTAAGATTTGCCATCATACTCCGAAATTTCAAGCTTAATATCATCAGGTTGACACCTCTCTCGATTATTATTGTGTGGCCTTCTCTGAAATATCCTTCGATCATGCTAATACTGAACTTCATTAGATTCATACTCTTCACTATCTTGATTATCATAGTATTTCAAATCAGAGTTTTTATCATAGTGAGCATGGTGCCTCGGTACTCTCATGCCTTGGTAAGCTATAGCTTCTTCCGCTTGCTCAATATGTCCTGCTCTATGCGGTTGAATTGGTGGATCTCGAAATGGAAGATGTCGCAGTAGCACTTGTATGTTGTGTCTTGGTGTCGGTGGAGGTTGTAAGCGTTGTGGTAGATTTGGTGGCTGATTTCGAATCGCCAAACCTTTAACCAATTGAGTCAGATTCTGCAATGATTTCTTTAAGTCATCTAGCTGCACTTTAATTTATTCGATTGTCTCGTTCAAGGACTGTAGTTCTTAATCGAATTTGTTCATCAATTGAAGAGTATCCTGAACTTTCAATTTTCTTGTCTAGAGACATGATAAGATAGCAATTTAAGAATTTGAATCGGGAACCTATACTCTAAAACCAAATTGATGTACTTTCAAGGTTTTGCACCTCTCAAGCACAAAGAAGAGAGAAAACAAAAGCACCCCGCTAAATTTTTTCACAAAATTAGCGAAAGAATTCTTAAACTCACGTTAGAAGAATGTAAGATGAAAAGAAACCTCACCCACACGCTCTTCAATCCCGCAAGATCGCAAGAGATGTTGAATAAGCGAAGAAGAGGAAATAAAAGGGTCAATCACAATTTTGAAGCTAATGCTCAAAGAAACTAATCACCGGTATTTATTTTCAGTATATTAAGCCCTTTAAATAGGCCTTAGAATGAGTAAAATTTATAAGGTTAAAGAAAACTGATCCTAATTAAACTAGAATAACAATAAGGCTAAGAAAACCTATCCTAACTAAAATAGGAAAAAGAATTCTAGTAGGAATGGATACCACTAACAATCCTAGTTTGACAAGAACTATAAATATAATCCTACCAAAACAAGAATTAAGAAATCCTAGTCCATAAGGAAAAGAAATACTAATCTTGAAGGAAAAGAAATCCTAATCTTGAATGGATTTTTGGGCTTCTTCAATTTCTTGAAATTCTTGGGCCTCAATTGGACTAAGGTTAATTAGCATAAGCATTTTAAATTCGTGACCCAATTCTCCAAATCCATTGGCACCTTAATGAGCCCAATAAGCCTCCATTGTTGTAGATAACATGGCCTCCATATGTTCATCACCATCTTAGATACAATAGTGGGAGCATATCTAGCCAAAGAATCAAAGTGAAGGTTATACTCTCGGACAATCATATTACCTTGCCGAAGGCTCAAGAACCTATCAACTCTGGACCGTCTAAGATCTGGTAGCAAATAATGGCGAAGGAAAGCCTCTGTAAACTCCTATCATACTGTTGGAGGGGCAACCTCACCTCTGGACAACTCCCAAGACTCGTACCAATTAACTACAACATCTCGAAGTCTATAGAAAGCTAGCTCAACTGATTCAGTCTCAATGGCCTTCATTACCCTCAAAGTCCTCTGCATCCTATTGATAAATACCTAAGGGTCCTCGTTTGGATCTGCTCCAGTGAATACCGGAGGGTCCAAATTATAAAATCCCAAACCCTTGCACTGATGGCCCTATCTACATGACCAATACCTACCTCCTGGCACCGAGCCTGTGCGGCCAATAATCGAGTCAATAGCTGAATAGCATCTCTCATTTCCTGACCCGGTGCACCTAGCTGAGGAGCTGCGGGTACTGGGCGGGCGTCGGAGTTGGTTTCCTTTGGAGCTCCTCTGGAGAGGGCAGGGTATGTGAAGTCTAAGATGGAGTCTCACTCTGAGACTCTCCCCGAGCTCTGGTAACTCGTGGTGCTCGACTTGTAGTCTCATTAGCCATAGACTTAGACTTTCCCTTCTTGGCCGTTGTAGCCTTCTTAGGCATCACCAAAAACATAACATGTTGGAAAATGAATCCTTATACCGCACGATCTAAGATAATAAGGGAGGATAACATCCTATATGTCCTGCAACATCCTATTTATAAGTATGGTGCACAACACACTCATAAACAAGACTCTATTAGACACGGGCTGTAGAAAACCCTAGGAAAGAACTACTCTAATACCACTTTTGTCACGACCCAAACCATTGGGCTACGACGAGTGCCCAAGTCCTACCTATCAAACACCCCTAAGCATACGTCTAAGATACAAACATGAAATAAGGGTAGGTCATGCATAACATCTATCAATAAATTGCTGAATCATGTGAATAACATCTGTGAAACATGCCCAAAAGACATATATACATATACATGTGGAATACGGTAGGGCGAGTTGACAAGGCTGCAATGGACAACTATATATCAAAAATAGAAGCCGACAAGGCCACATACTAGCCAACTATACATGACTGTCTACAGATGTCATGACCAAAATTGGAGGTCCATGATTGGCACTCGGACCATACCTACCGAGCACCAACATACATTTTATCTAACCTTTCTTATTATCTATAAGGGCCGGCGAGATCAACATGAATGGTAGACATGAATCATGAAAAATCAACAATGACAGATAATGGCATGAACATACATAACATGGGCCGGCAAGGCTGTCATGAAGCTATATATAAGGTATGAGTTGCCATGCTGCCATGAGAGACTATATAACAAAAATCAGCCGACAAGGCAATCCAAACTATACATGAGTCGACACCTATCTATAAGCCTCTAAAGGAACATAAGTGCTGCAACATTGCCGGAATAGGGCCCTGACATACCCATAATGTCTATAACAAAAGTGCATACCAAGACCACGGCAAGTCCAGAAAAGGGATATCGCCAATAACCGCTGAACTGGACAGCCTACTGTGGTGGGAGAGCTTTGCCTACCTGTCTATCAAGACCTGCAGCATGACATGCAACATCCACAAATAAAAAAAGGGATGTCAGTATGAATAAAGTACTGAGTATGTAAGGTGAAAGCATAAATAAGAATAGTAATGTAAACAGGAAAAGAGAATATACAACATGTAACATCTAAGTACCTCTGAGGGCTACTAACATGAAATGCATGATACATATATATATATATATATATATATATATATATATACATATAAACTTTTAAAAACGTATGCCTCCGTGGGCATCATCATCATCATCATATCGTACCCAATCGTAATAGGCTCGGTAAAAACATACCCGGCCATCATATGGCTTGGTAGAATTGTACCCGGCCACGTGGAGCTCGGTAAACCCAAATGATCAGTGGTTGCCCAATAGGTGCCGTGCCCGGCCACCTATATTGCTGCTCGGTAGAGTAAAATAGGTACACATATATATAATGCAAATTGGACTCATTGGAATCACATTCTGAACCTTTCGGAGTGACGTAAGGTCGGTAACCTCCATAAACGTTATTTGGACTAACTCTTCATCATGGATCTTATGAGAATCAGGAAGTATCAACAACATTGATAACATAAGAATAAGAGAAGCAACGTCAACATCAATTGTTCCATAAGAAGGGAAACAATGTAAGTACTGCTAGCTTTCAAGAGTGATGTATCTTTGGAAGCTCGTTCAATATATTATGTACAATCGGAGTCGTGCAAAAGAAGGAAAAGGATAGCCTCACATACCTTGTATATACTTCCCAACCTCAAGCTATGAAAATTTCATGACTCCTTAGTCTACAACAAGAAGAAATGACACTATCGTTATCATTTAAGCATCGTAACTATTATATATCGACCGCAACCTATTTTACGGTAAAACGGATAGCATCTCCCCTATTTATATGACTTCCCACATGGTAAAAAAATCACAAAACATCCCAAAACATCAATAATAATCATATTAAGCCTCCCAAAATAGTCCACCAACCAACAACATTACTAACAAGCTTTTCGATAGATAACTCACAAGTTCTAGCTTCAATGACTTAGCCGCAACTTGGATAATCTTAAATACATGTAGAGTAAGAGGTTCCCTACCTTTAAACAGATATAAA